CACACTGGCACCGCTAGAGTGATCCACGAGTCAAGCTTCTATAAGGTTCTCCGAGGAGGAGGAAATCGTCACCTCCTTGGAATGTACTGCCGACCACCAGTCAGCGGTGTTGATGTTATGTTTTATAAATAACTTGTTGGAAAAGATCTCGTTGACCCATGAATCATTCTTCACTGACAGTGCCACTATCTATATACATTATCTAACTATCAAGTTCTTGAGGCATTGCAAGTGAACCAAAGTATACAAATATGAGCAATCAAGTCCGTGTTAAAGAATTACCTACTTACTCAGAGGGTTGCATCAAACTGCGACACTTGGCGTAGTCATAACACCCAGCCTGTCGGCACGACTGAAGCCGGCTGCTAAGTCTTATACCAAGTGTATGTATATTATGTATGCTGGATTATATATTATGTATGTATATTATGTATGTGCTCCATTTATGTATTATTTATTCAGCCTAGCTAGCAGCGTGTGGCAATGTAATTACCATATCCCACATGCTTAATTAATGTGCCTGGCGACGTATGGAAGCTGCTAATGTATCACTTGCCATACGTCGTCTATAGCAGTTGACAAGGAGCCAAGCTGAGGAGCGCTACTCTCCTTGTGTACATATCTCTTATCCAGTAAACCGAACCTACAAAATCTATACAGGTGTTTATGTTCTCTCCTGTATATTGAACTTATTATCCAGAACATAACATGACACAGTGAGTACTTTTACTGGATAATTACGAGTGACAGTGCAAAGTTTGTGGAAAGCCGGCTTATGGACTCCTCGCCCTGTGTCAACCGCCGCCCGCCATCCGCCCTCGAAGAATTTAGCAACTTTGAGCAGTGTCAGTGACAGTGATTTTCTGTGAAGTGTTTAGTGCATTGTGTGTTTCGTGCCATTCATGTGTGACCTTGTTCTAAAGGATTCTCAAGGTACACGGCATGTTCTGGGCATTTGTGGGGAGTAGAGTTCAGTGCACCCTTCTCTGACCGCGTCCAGAGGGTGACTGACGCTCCTCGCCGTCTCCACCCCCCCCTCACAGCGTCGCCTCCACACCCCCTCACAGCTCGAGGCCCCTCATGGCGAGACGCTCTAGCCCGCCCGACACACACATACATGTACTAACACTCACTGACCGCGCGGCTCCCTTATATATATTTTATATATATAACCTACTTATCTGTGTATTTAATTAATTTTTTTGTCTGAAATCTTGTTGATACGACGGGCTGACCGGTCAACACTGATTTAAGACACAGTACACAGATGAAGTAGTTATGTCTCGTGCCTTACGTAGCCGTGGAGCCAGCGCCGCCCGGATGAGTGAGGCGGATGATAGCTCGGCAGAGATGGATGACATGGCCGACCACGACGCTCCAGCTCCCACAACATCGCGCAGCCCTTCACCTCAATATTCAGCGTTGTCTCCAGAGATAATTGCTTTAATGAAGTTTATGAGAGATGAAAGGCGCGAGGATGAAGCTCACAGACGTGTGGCGGATGAACACAGGAGGCAAGCAGAGGCAGAGAGAGACCACCAACGGAGATTGGAAGACAATGCACGGTTTGAAGCTTTGATATCTCGCCTCACTGTTAACCAAGCCCCTGGCTCTAACACTGCCTCGGTACTGACTGGTTCAGATACCTCATCAATGCTTCCTTCACGCCCCCCAGCCCCACCTAAAGCAGCAGCTCAAACACCGCCCATCTTGAAGCCTGATGTGAATTTCCAGACTTTTCGTGAATGGCGGCGACGGTGGACTGATTATTCTACAATGGTAGATCTCCAGAGTTTGTCACAGCCTAAACAACTCATCCAGCTGCGTATGTGCCTGTCCTTGGAAGTTCAGCGTGTCTTAGAACATACGTTGCAGGTACCTCCGACCTCTTCGCTGTCTGTAGAGGAGGTACTGGACATTCTACAACGGCACATCAAAGGACAGCAGAATGACGCTCTGTGCAGAAGGAAATTGTTTAGCTGCAGACAGATGGAGGGTGAGTCTTTTGACGCCTTTTATGTACGTCTTAAGGGAGCCTCGGAAGAGGTAGATATATGTTTAGGCCACCACCAGCAGTGCGAGGAGACCCAGTTGAAGCAGGTGATCCTGATGGGTGTTAAGGACGAGGAACTTGTCCAACGCCTCACCTCCCTCGACTCTTCCTCTTCTCTCAAGGATGTGTTGACGATATGTCGCTCCTATGAGGCTGCCAGGTGTGCCACCTCTGCCATCCGAGCTCCCCCTACAGCTGTACGCGCTGTGTCCCGGTACAAGAAGGACAAGAAGTCTGCTCCTACGCCTTCGCCCACCACGTCCACGCCCGGTTCATTTTGCAACAACTGTGGTAAGCAGCACGGAACACAGGTGTGTCCAGCTGCTCAGTCTACCTGCAGCAGTTGTGACCGTAAGGGCCACTGGTCACTCACAGTACGGTGCCCAGCCAAACGCGTCCAGTGCAATGTGTGCGGTCGTCTGGGCCACTATGACAAGTGTTGCCCTTCCCACAAACCCAAGGGACAGCGTCGGCGGAAGCTTCAGCTCCCTTCCACCAGAGAGGGCCGCCCACAGTCGCCAAATCAGAGGCACGACGACCCTGGACAAAGCCCGACCCATATTAGGAGGGTGTACTCCTCACATCCCAGGACCAAAGTTCCTCAGTACATCAGTGTCATCGTGACCTATGGCAGTGTGTCATCCCGTCTTCAGATGTTGCCTGACACCGGCGCTGATGCTACAGTCATCGGTCCCCAGCATTTGCAATGCTTGGGGCTCTCTCCAAGCGATCTAGGACCGCCTCCCAAGGACCTCTGCGTCACGGCAGATGGTTCACAGATGGCCCCAGCCCTAGGTTCACTCCGAGCACAAGTCACCTTTGGCAACAGGTCGTGTCAAGCCTGGATTGATGTGCATAACGGTGTCCCGACTCCTTTGCTGTCCTACAGACATTGTCAAGAGTTGGCCATCATCTCCCAGGACTTCCCAACACCGATTCTCGAGGTAAAATACGCCAACAGGGTGCACGAAAGGAGCAGCAACTACCCTGCTGCTGCCCTACCCCTACCTCTGGCCAGTGACACCTCTCCTTCCATAGTTGTCCCTGCTGCTTCAAGTCTCCACGCCTTGGCTCGCCTCCACGACAGTCACTGTGGAGCCGAGGCCACCAAACGGCATGCAAGACAGACTGTGTTCCGGCCTGGCATCGACCCCGACATCTCCAATACTGTCCAGGTGTGTAAGCCCCGCCACGTACTACAACCCAGCCAGCAGCAGGAACCCTTTATGATTGACGACAACCCCACCCGCCCCTTTGAGTCTGTGTCGGCCGACTTTTTCTCTGTGTCAGGAAAGTCCTTCCTTGTTATCGTCGACCGTCTCTCTGGTTGGCCGGTTGTCATCAGGTGCGGTAATGACACGACGTCTGCCGCCACCATCAGCAAGTTCCGCCACTACTTCCGTGACGTGGGCGTTCCTGTACGCCTGCGAACCGACGGAGGGCCTCAGTTCACAAGCCGGGACTTTGCTGCGTTCCTTGACCGATGGGGAATCCGGCATGTGTTGTCATCGCCCCATTACCCGCAGTCCAACGGCCACGCTGAGGCTGCTGTCAAATCCTTGAAGCACCTCATCCTTAAGGTGGCCCCTTCTGGGAATATTGACTGCGAGGCCTTCGACCGGGGCCTTCTTGAACTCCGCAACACACCTAACTACACCGGACGCTCCCCTGCCCAGGTTTTGTATGGGCGCCCCTTAGTTCTTGTGTCCCTGCTCACCCTCAATCCTTCTCCAGGAGTGTCAGGCCAAGACTGAAGTTGTGATCTCCGAGCATGACGTGATGTTCAGGGGCGATGAAATCGCCGCTTCTTGACCATAGGTTCTCCCCAGGTTGAATTAACCGGCACCCAAGTCCGTGTTCAGGACACAAACTGCCTCCCTACGTTGGGAGAAAGTGAGGCGTAGTCATGGGTCAAGTGAGTCCATAGGGACTACCAGGTGCGGTTACCCAGTGATGCGTGGCTGCTGGTGGAGGAACCGCCGCCCCGTAACAATGCCTTCTGCTGGCCCCGCCACCAGTGTTGAGTCCCATACCCTTCCCAGTGATGAAGTCCCTCGACGCTCAGAACGGATCCAAAAGAAAAGGTCCGCTCAAGACTTTGCTATGAGCGTATAGGGGGGAGGGAGGTGTATGTATATTATGTATGTGCTCCATTTATGTATTATTTATTCAGCCTAGCTAGCAGCGTGTGGCAATGTAATTACCATATCCCACATGCTTAATTAATGTGCCTGGCGACGTATGGAAGCTGCTAATGTATCACTTGCCATACGTCGTCTATAGCAGTTGACAGGCAGCCAAGCTGAGGAGCGGTACTCCCCTTTGTGTACATATCTCTTATCCAGTAAACCGAACCTACAAAATCTATACAGGTGTTTATGTTCTCTCCTGTATATTGAACTTGTTATCCAGAACATAACACCAAGCGATATAACTTATGAATAACCTCTACAGGTCATTGAATAATGAATGTTCATAATTATATATCCATGGTTGTAAGTTATTAATTACTAATCTAAATTATACTGGTTACACACGCATGCACGCACGCACATTGTATTTTATATACAGTACGTAGATTAGAGATGAGGAAAACTACATAATGTTGGGAGGTAACACTAAATATTTACACTTTGCATCAGCTAAGGTTTATGATTAGAGCTGACAAAAGGACCCAGAAATAGTTCAGATAGGAACTGTATCAGTAATATTCTTATCACAGCAACATTCACTCTATCAGAAAAACTTATCCCCCCAAATTGTCATAACATTTGGTGCTTCAGCTTTTAATATTTATAAAAGATAAATTCATAACATGCTGTAGTTAAAGGTTAAATTTTTACCCTTTACCCTGTAGCCATACCTTGTGGCAATTGGGTTATGTTAATGTTATTTTAGGAGTAATTTTTCCTCACTTCAACCTTGCCAATGTTTTTATTTTTCTCAGGAATTTTACGTTGATGGTGCTCGTATTGAAGCTGCCTTTAGGAAGTATTTTCACCGTGCTTCATCGTCTCAGGAAAAGGACAGTTACGAGGTGTTTGTGTGTCATGGGAATGTCATCAGATATTTTGTGTGCAGGTTAGTGAAATTATATTGGGTATAATGTACACTAGCAACAAAAAGTATCGGTGCATACTGTAGTGTGAACAATTTGAGACCAGTGATGATAGGTATTGGGAAAGGCGAGTTGTTCCAGCCGTATGTTGGCAGCCCTGATTGTCAGCCATATGGCAACACCTAGTGGAGAGGGGGGGGGGGTTATGAGGATACACTTACCAACCTTCCCGACATATCACAGTGTATACGTATCGTTTCGGAACTCGTCGATCTCACCCTGCACCGATACTTTTTGGTGTGAGTGTACATTGTGAATATCATAAATATATTTGAAATTCGGAACATATACCTTCACCTTTTAAGCAATGTATCACTAGCAATTTCTGCTGGAAGACACATTCTTCCCTTACTATAACCTTTACATCCCTGACAAGCTTCTTATCTGATTTTCGGACAAATGTGTAGTCAATCTGGGTTTTTTATGCCCCCTGACTCGTATGTTATCGGCCTGCATACAACCATGTTCAATGCATCCCTTTCACTACAGTTATTGTGGCTCTCCTAGAATCTTTCTCTTTCCTCTTCACTCGTCTTATAGTGCAAGAGCCCATTTATCCCTGTGGGCTTTTAATGAAAAACATTTACCACTGATGTAGAAATGTTTAATATGCTTAAAATAACCTAAAAAACAAACAATATTGGCAATCAGCCATCTTGCTAGATTCAAAATGGCTAACAATTTGCTGGGAGACTTAGAAAAATCAAATGATTAGAATTGTTCAGTTTGGACGATCTAGGTAAAAGAATCCGTTTATGTTAACAAAATTGCTGATTACGATTCTGACCTTTATCATGCGTTAGGAATGAAATCTGACTTTATATTTAAAAAAAGTACAGTATGTTTTTTTTACTCAAAATATTAAAAACGATAAAAATGCTTAAATATGGATATTTTGGTAGTCATATCTGTAGTTATATTGTGGTACAGTATTAAGATCTATTGAGATTAAAGAATTCATTATGAATACTACACTATACACACTCTACACACTACACACTATACACACTCTACACTATACACACACTCTACACACTCTACACTCTACACACTCTACACTCTACACACTCTACACTCTACACACTCTACACTACACACACTCTACACACTCTACACTATACACTACACTATACACACTCTACACTATACACACACTACACTATAAATGCTCTACACTATACACACACTACACTATAAATGCTTTACACTATACACACTACACTATACACACACTACACTATAAATGCTTTACACTATACACACTACACTATACACACACTACACTATACACACACTACACTATACACACTACAATATACACATCTACACTATACACACACTACACTATACAAACTCTACACTATACACACTCTACACACTACACTATACACACACTCCACTATACACACACTACACTATACACACTCTACACTATTATACACAATACTCCACACTATTCACACTCCACTCCCCATACACACTCTACACTATTCACACACACTACACTATACACACACTACACTATACACTCTACATTATACACACCCACACACTCGACACTAAACACACTACACTAAACACACACTCCACTATACACACTCCACACTATACACAATCTACACTATACACACACTACACTATACACACACTCTACACTATACACACACTACACCATAATACCCACACTATACACACACTACACTATACACACTCTACACTATACACACTCTACACTATACACACTCTACACTATTCACACACTACACTATACACACTTACACTATACACACTCTACACTATACACACTCTACACTATACACACACTACACCATACACACACTACACTATACACACACTCCACTATACACACACTCCACTATACACACACTACACTATACACACACTACACTATACACACTCTACACTATACACACTTTACACTATACACACACTCCACTATACACACACTCCACTGTACACACACTCCACTATACACACACTCCACTGTACACACTCTACACTATTCACACACTCCACTATACACACAGTCCATTATACACACTCTACACTATTCACACACTACACTATACACACACTCCACTGTACACACACTACACTATTCACACACTCCACTGTACACACTCTACACTATACACACTCCACTATACACACACTCCACTATACACACTCTACACTATTCACACTCTACACTATACACACTCTACACTATTCACACACTATACTATACACACTCTACACTATTCACACACACTCCACTATACACACTACTACACACACACTACACTATTCACACACTATTATACACACTCCACTATACACACTCTACACTATACACACTACACTACACACTACACTATTCACACACTTCACTATACACACACTACACTATTCACACACCACACTATACACACTCCAATTATACACACTACACATTCACACACACTCCACTATACACACTCTACACTATGCACACACACTACACTATTCACACACTTCACTATTCACACACTACACTATACACACTCTACACTATTCTATACACACTACACTCCACTATTCACACTCTACACTATATCACACACACACACTACATACTCTACATACTCTACACTATACACACACTACACTATTCACACACTACGCTCAACACACACACACACACACTCCACACTCAGCACACTCACACTCCACACACAGCACACTCACTCCACACTCAGCACACACACACTCCACACTCAACACACACACACTCCACACTCCACACACACACACTCCACACTACGCACTCCACATACACCTCAGACAGACACACATATACACTCCTGCGTGCACACTACACACTCCACACACAGGAATAAAAAAAATTTTTGGGGGGGGGGGTTGTTGGCTGTCACTTTAACCCCCAATAGAGGTGGGTTGTTGACAGCAGTAGGATGGAAGATTAACCAAACTCTAGTATTATGAAAGCAGTGGTTTTATTTTTTGCTTATAAAATGTCACCGTCTCATCTTAGGAGCATATAACTTGCATTGCTGGAATTCTTGTAAGATCTTGTAAGATAGTGATTAATTTGAGTATAAACATTCCTTATTTTGCACCATACATAATAGTTTTAGTATTTAACTTAGTACATTTGAGTACAGGTTGTGATACACTTGTGAGTACTGTACACTTGTCTCGCGTGGGGGTAAAGACGTGTACATCCTTGGAGCGTGAAATTGTCACTCCAAAGGGGGGGTTTCGCCAGTAGAAAGAGGTCGGAGAAAGTGGGAGTCAAAAACAAGCAGGTCCTGGGAAGTAAAATTGGTTACTCAGGACAAGGGGTAAAACAGGACCAGTGAAGAGTAGGTTTAAATGTATACTATACGGTACAAACAGTAGGAGTGTTAGAAATAAAATAGACTTGCTGAGAGCGGTTGTATGTACCGAGAATGTGGATGTCTTAGCAATCACTAAAACTTGGATGAATCTGGCTGGCAAGAACTTTTTATCAGAGTACCACATAGAAGGGTACAACCTTTTTCACAAGGACAGAGAAGGTAGGAAGGGGGGAGGTGTCGCACTCTTCGTCAGGGATACATTAAAATGTTGTATTAATAATTCAATAAAGGGTGAAATAGGAACCGAGTCTGTATGGGTAGAAATTGCGGAAGGAAGAGAAAAACTAATTTTGGGAGTGATTTACAGGCCACCCCAGTCTTGGGAAAGAAGCAACTCAGCTCATATGACAGGAAATGAGTAGGGCAGCAAAATACAACAACCTGTGCATTATGGGGGATTTCAACTTCAAAAATATTGACTGGGACAACATTGTAGGTGACTATGAATCTGAAAACTTCCTAGATGCAGTACAGGACAATTTCTTAAAACAACTAATTACAGAACCTACTAGAGGTGACAATAAATTAGACCTAGTATTAACAAATAAAGAAAATATCAGAGATATCACAATAGGGGAAGAACTAGGGAACCGTGATCACAGAGAAATCAGGTTCACCCTAAATTGGGAAACCAAAAACTGACAATATGGTCAGAGTCCCAAACTTTTGATCGGCGTATTATGGGTGGTTAAGAAGGGTACCTAGGTGAGGTCGCCTGGGAACAGTCAGGTCAGTCCCCGGTAGGAACGGGCGAGGTCACAGGCGACACAACAATTGATCATGACGATAATATATTCACTAGTATACTAAGTAAAGCACAAGAACAAAATTTACATTGCAGAAAAATTAGGTCAAATTTGATTGACCCAAGGAGGATGACCAAAATACTTAAACATGACATAGGAATAAAGAAAGGAATTTATTTGAAATTAATGGGAGGGGAGGAGCAGCTCAGAAATAGGTATAATGAACTATCTAGGAATGTTAAGAAAAATGTAAGGAAGGCAAAGAGGGACTATGAAACCAGGATAGCAAGAGATTCCAAGGCGAATCCCAAGGGATTTTTCCAGGTATTTAGGACAAAGATCAAAGATAAAGTGAGACCTTTAAAGTCAGAGAGAGAAGTGATCGATGATACTGAGAAATAAGCAAAGCACTAAACAGCACTTCTTATCAATTTTCACAGAAGAAATTCACGAGGAAATTCCAGAGGTGGAACTGATATTTAGGGGAAATGAAGAAGAGAAATTAAAGAATATCACTATCAGAAAAGAGGATGTTCTTAAGATAAATAAATTAAAGAAGACAAAATCCCCAGGGCCGGATGAAATTTTCCCTCGAGTTCTGAAAGAGTGCAAGGAACAGATTAGCGGACTCCTCGTAAATTCATTTACAAAATCATTAGACACGGGGGTTGTGCCAGACTTGTGGAAACAGGCCAATATAGTACCCATATTCAAAATGGGAGACAGAACATCAGCGTCAAATTACCGGCCGATTAGTTTGATGTCAGTAGTGGGGAAATTTCTTGAATCAATTATAGCAAATAGCATCCAATCACA